AAAAAAAAAAAAAAAAAAAAGTTTTTCTTTTATTTATTTTAATTTTTTTCTTTTTAACCGATTTTCGTTTTTTATTTTTTATAAATCCTAAATGAAGTCAAATCAACTAAAATGCCAAAAAAAAGGGGTTGTAGGGTTTTCAAAATCCTACAACTCCGTATATTTTTATTTTTTTTACTTATTTTTCGACCCCCCAAAAAATATTTAAAATATCGGGCCGCAAACTAGGCCTGGCGGCTGCGGCTGCGATCGACTTTTTTGGCCACGGTGGCCGAATTGCCTGCGGCCTAGGCTGCGGGTGTCACATAAGGTCTAGCCCTATAGCCCTGGCCGCTGCAGTTCTTCATTCACATAAACGTTCATGCTCACACGCCTATAGCTTCGGCAGTCGCAGTTCCTCATACACGTATGCACGTGCACCCTCATACGCACGGTACCGGTAGGGGCATATGAAAAATTATTGTGGTGACACTGCTGGTACTCGACGGCTATCCGGTAGGGGCATACTGGAAATTTGACACGGATATCGGTAGGGGCATATTGAACAAATTTCGGGCCTGAATAGAGCCAAGGTTTTTCTCGAAACTTGAGTCGTTGTCAGAGGGGCAAATCTGGGCAAGTCGGTCTTCAGAGGGGCAAACCGCAAATAAACAGGGGCATTTTGAAAATATTCCCAAAAAAAGAATTAAAAAAAAAAAAAAAAAAAGGATAGTTTGCAAAATACCCCTAGAAGTTGAGATATATGATATATGGCAAATGCCCCTAAAGGATGTGGGTAGAGCGAATACCCCTCTAACACAAAAAATGTTTTGCAAAATGTCCCCCCGTGTCAGTTGGACAACTTGGACCTGCCATCTTTGCAAAATACTTCTAGAAGGTACTGTCCATCTTTGCAAAATGTCCCGGTACTTGCCCACTTTTCCTATACCCTATTTATTTTCTTTTTAACTCTACCCGGCCAGGTTTGCGATTTGCCCCAAGGCCGTTGCCTCCAAAACAAATGCACGTTGAAGAGAAAGCACAACCACTATGGCTGTAATGTGTTGGCGCAACGTCCTGTTTGGATAGACAGATAATGTATGTGCGCTCTATTCGGGGGAAGTGTGTTGTCGTTTTAGCAGCTGCACCGAGAGAGAGAGAGAGAGAGAGAGAGAGAGAGAGAGAGAGTTTGAAGGAGCAGCCGGCAGAAGGATGTCGGAGTTGGCAAACGAGGAGAACTTTCAGTTCGAGAAATGGCGGGATGCCAGTTGATTTCTAATGAGATGCCAGGTGGCAGCTCTAACTCTCTCTGTGAGTCTCTCTTTCTCTCTCTCTCTCTCTCTCTCTCTCTCTCTCTCTACTGTTGGGCTACCACTTGGCAGCCGCTTTCTATTGAGCTGCCACGTGGCAGCTCTAACATTCTCTCCTGGGGCCTCTTTCTCTATGTGTGTGTGTGTGTGTGTGTGTGTGTGTGTGTGTGTGTGTGTGTGTGTGTGTTTGTGTGTGTGTGTTTGACCAACATCGCAAAATTTCCCGAATACGAAGAAGAACAACAACAAAAACAAGGAAAAGAAGATTTTTTTTATTTTTTTTTAATGAAGCAGCAAATAATTAAAAAAAGAATAAAAAAAAGGAGAAGATGAAGAAGATGAAGAAGAAGAAGAAAATGATGAAGAAGAAAAAAAACAGCAAGGAATAAGAAGAAGTGAAAAAAGACATCAATGGAGAAGAAAAAAAAAAAAAAATGCAAAGAAGAAGAAAAAGAGGAAAAAACGTTTAAAAAACAAAAAGTACCTGCTTTCCTTTTTAGGAGGGCTCTTACACCATGTCAATCATGAAAAAAATGGAAGAAAAAAAATCTTGCTTTTCTTTTATTTATTTATTTAAATTATTTTTAACCGATTTTTAGTTTTCATTAAAAGTATATATATATAAATAAAAACAAATTATATATGTCTATTGTTCGAGGGGTTTGTAAACCCTGCAATTTCTCTGCAAACCTTTTTTTTTTTTAACTAATTGTTTGATAAAAAAAAAACCCAAAAAAACAGTAGGCAAAGTAGGAGTCCTAACCACCCTCACGACCGACTTTTTCGGCCGCGGCGGCCGATTTGCCCGTGACCTAGGACACGGGTGTCACACATCCTCCTTGTCATTCAATTTGGAGGTGGTCAGTATTCTGTGTCCGCTGCCTAGTTGAGTGGCTGTATTCTTGAACCAGTGGGGAGCCAGATGACTACTCTGACACTCTTAGGTTTTGGTGTGTGTGCTCGGTAGGAGTCTGTATGACTCGTAGGGCCATATCTCATTCTGTGTGATTGTGCTCCAATGTATCCATTAGGTTGGTTTCCTGGATGCAGATTGCATCTGGTTAATCCTTCCCCTCCACCCCTCTTAGTTGGTCTAAGATGAGTCAGGCTTGTTTTTTGAGTTGTTTGGTCTGTACATCTCTTTTCAAACTTTTGCTGTATTGGTGTACAATCTTTCACGTCAGTTCATTTCAACCCCCATTTCAGCTCAAGAGGCCAATGAGACAAGGGGACCCTATCAACCCCCTTCTCTTTCTGTCAAGTTTCAGATAATCATGGAAACCCTGACTGCTAACCTACGTAAGAATAAAGATATCAACAGAATTCAAGTCACTTCTATAACAGAAGAGGCAATCCCTGCCTGCTCCTTTTTTGATGATGATGGATGACTTGTCTATCATGATTGAAGCATCCCATGAGAATCTAGAAGCTTTATGGGTAATGATGAATCAATTTTGTAGACTCTTTAATGTAAAGATTACTTGGGGCAACAAAACATTAGGATGGTGGATTCATCACCAAGGTGTCAGACCCCTAGAGGATCAAAAAATTAAGTGGCTACTTAAAGAGACACCTGTTACGGGGGTGGGTATCAACCTCTCGATAGAAGGAAAACATGAAGCCAATAATTAATGTACTGTACAGTTTGTACAAAATGTTAGTTCCGCATTAGAATTATAGAAGAACAAACATACCTCCATATTTTGAAGATCTTTTGTGATTAATAATGTAGTCCTAGCATCAATATGGTATACATCTGCCATTTGAGCCCTAGATAAGGCAGCAACCAAGATATTTTGACACAACTAAGAGTCTTCCAGTGGAGGGGAAATCATGAGACAAATAATGTGATTAGTAGGGTAACCTGGTCATCAATCATACAACCCGATTCCAGAGGAGGATTGAGTATCATGGATCCCACTCTCCAAGCAATGACTCTATTAATACAATAGATCAAAAGACTACTTATTAGTCCTCAAACTCCATGGAGTGTTTTAGCTTGGGAACATGTAAAAAAGATAGTCCCCCCTACTAGTGATGAAGTTGACCCATTGATATGGTTAAAAAACTGAGTGTAGACTTTATCCAGAGCCAGAGGACAGAGGTTCGAGGAATCTAACCTCTTCAATACAGCAGATCTCGCTAAGGATCCCTTCTGGGCCTCCCTCATTAAAACATGGAGAAAGATGCCGCCTACTAACAAGATCCCCCCAGAAAGGTGGGAGGAAGTTTGCAGACAACCACTTTTCAACAACATTTGGATTAGAGATTCACAAGGTTGCACCATTCACAGCAGAGACTCACCCTAAAAAGGATGGATAGAAAAGGGGTGATTAAAATCAGTGATATATGGGATACACATACCATTGATACCAATGACTGGATCTCACAAAGAAACTCAAGGAGAAGTTGAAATATTGCCATCATTTAGAGGCTGCTCTAGATAAAAAATTAGTACTAGTCCCAATAGGTTGGACTAAAATTCTCAAAAGAGCCCCAAAGAGCAAAACTAATGATTGGGTAAGTGTTAAAGGATGACCCCTACTTAATTGGCAACATTCTGCATATGGAAGCGAATGAAGATATCTTAATCACCCTCTTTGGTCTCAAAGACAATAATGAGTTAATGATTGTTAATCCCCAGTGATCAAAACATGGTCAAATGGGTAACGAAAAAAAAAAAAAAAAAAGATTGAGTTCTACAAAATAAGAACACTTGGGTCCAATGAGTCGTCTTTCGCTCCTGCACACTTATTCAATATCTCCCACTAGATTCACAAGAATGAAAATAAGGATTGCGATGCAAAGGAAGAAGTTCGACTTCGAAGAAGAAACTTCGTCAGATCTCTTCACACCCTCACAGTCAAATCAACGTACAAAATGATAAGACCAAGAATAAATCTCAAGGATGGAGTCACACAAAGATGGGTGGATCAATTGAAAAAAAAAAAAAAGACCTTCAAGGCTCCAACAGATCAAACGGTTCCAAAACAAGAAAATCAAACCTGCCAAAATGGCAAATAGAACATAGATGTCTCCCAACCAATTACTGACTAATAGCAAGACGCCGCTAGACAGAAAAAGACTACCTATTGCCTTACTGAGGCGAAGCATACATGAAACTATCGAGCATATTTTTCTACAATTTCCAAGCTCGGTCTGGCTATGGAGATGGTGGGACAGAATATGGAGCCAGCTAGAAGTAACTCATTGATGGTCATGGGGATGAAAACCGTTGTTGCAGGAGGCATGGGTGGTTGATCTCTATGATGAATTCATGCAAAATATGTTTATCATTAGCAGAAGAGCAATACTTTGGGATATTTGGAGAAGAAGATGTACACACGAATGAGAGAAAGTCAGATTTGACGGCCAGGAATTTTTAGACAGTATCAAGGAACAAATTCAAACAGATATGAGAATTCAATGGGAATACCAAGGAAAAAATTCAGCATCTTTCAAAGAAAAAAGAAATTTTTGAACACATCAACAAATTTATGAGAGGCTGGCTTAGGGGGGAATAGGGAGGAAAGCTAAGGAAGCTCAGAAGGCGCTCTAGAAAATGATGAAGATGTCCTCAATAGGAACTACAAGCTACACTTTAAAGACTGGTGTTCGGTGGATCCCACGATACCTCTACGTCCTGCGTTTGAACTCCCTGATCCCTTCCCCTCAGTCATCAGTCAATGGTTCCTATCTCATGGTATGGCCCAACATAAAGTTTAACCTACCATTCAGATCTAGATACTTAATGAATGGAGTAGATGGTATGCTTAGGTGCCCCATGATAGCCCCTATCAGAACGTTTTTAACAAACTCTGAAGGGACATGACTCCCACTCACCAACAATCACATAAGGCTAGGTGTACAATTTGGCGCCTTAGGCTAGGTGAAGAGGCCCAAATCATCATGACGGTTATACTCAGTGTCGTCCCCCGTACGTCGTATGGGGGGTCTTTGTACGGCCCGTGCATACGCACGGTCGGACGCCCGTACGGACGTACATACGGTTCCCGTCCGAACGTGTCACAGGCCGTTGGGGAGGTGCCGGGGGGGTTCTGACGGCCTGGGGTGGTGGGATGGGTGTCGGGGGGCCTTGCCATGTTTTTGAAAAAAAAATAATTTTTTTTCGCCTGCCCTCCCAAACCGCCCTGGCCCATGCCACAGGCTGCCAGGCTGGGCCCCGCGGGGACGCAGGCAATCCTTTTTTTTTTTTTTTCAGCGGAAAAAAAGAAAAGAAGGCAGGTGGAACCGGGGCCTACATCTGCATATAAGTGAGATTGTGGGCATCAACACCCACAGTTTGTATTGTCGCCCACACTTTGGGTTGTCACCCACGCAAGAGTGCGGGAGGCTGCTGTTGAGGGCAACACAGAGAGAGCAACATAGAGAGAGAGAGAGAGAGAGAGAGAGAGAGAGAGAGAGAGAGAGAGAG